AAGCCAGAAGTGGTGCTATGGCTCGTGGTAGTGGTAGCCTTGAGCAAAAGAAGCTTAGGGACAGTGCCCAGGCCCCGAGTTCAAGCACCAGGACTGGCAAAAAAAAAAAAAAAAAAGGGCATAGATTGCTTCTTACTCTCATATTAAGATTGTGAAACTTGCTGGCCCGTTGGTGGCTCACACCTGTAATCCTAGCTACTCAGGAGGCTGTGATCTGAGGATCATGGTTCAAATCAGCCTGAGCAGGAAAGTCTGAGAGACTCTTCTCTCCAATTAACCCACCAGAAAACCGGAAGTAGCATTGTGGCTCAGGAGGTAGAGCCTTGAGCCGAAGAGCTCAGGGACAGCTCCCAGGTCCAGAGTTCAAGCCCCACGACCAACCAAAAAAAAAAGATTGGAAAACTTTAACCTCGTATGATGTCACCTTTCTAGCTACTGACTAAGGAAATCACAAATCCTCTCAACCTGTTTTTATCATCTGTCAAACAGGAATACTGAGAATATCTACCTACCTCACAGGGCTACTGGGAAAATGGACTAGAGTGCTAGGGGCCAGGGGCTTAGGTCTGCAATCCGAGCTACTCAGGAGGCTGAAATCTGAGGACTGTGTTTCAAAGCCAGCCTGGGGAGTTCAAACCCAAGAGAATTTGATCTCCAATTAAACTGCAAAAAGCCAGAAGTGGAGCTGTAGCACAAGTGATAGAGTGGCAACCTTGAATGAAATAGCTAAGTAACAGGGCACAGGCCCTGAGTTCAAGCCTCTAGAACTGGCAAAACAAACAAACAAACAGACAAAAGCCCCACGGGTTATAATATCTAGTGTGCTTTGTACAAAGACCCTGGGTGGTCTTAATGAAAATATAGTAGCAAGAATTAAAACAGTAATGAGGAATATGAAAGGTCAGGCTGCTGAAAGAGACAGATACTAAACCCAGTTTGCATGAATGGATGTCTGAATAGGGTAAAGATAACACTGCTTTGCAAAGAAGTCAAACCACTGGTCATCAGTATACATTAACACTTCCATTCATCAAGTGCACTCATCCGATAACCCTGAAAACATTCTTTGGGTTTGGTTGGGTTTTTCCTTCCTGAATGAACTTCTGCACAGAGCCATTCCAGCTTAAGTTTGCAAGCCACAACAAATGTTCGTTGCCAGGCTAAGATGATGGGAATTAGTGCCTCTCCAAAGAATAGTATAAGCTGGGCACCAGTGGCTCATACTATAATCCTAGCGACTCAGGAGGCTGAGATCTGAGGATCATAGTTCGGAGCCTGGGCAGAAAAGTCTGAGACTTTTTTGAACTCTGAGCCAGGGCGTTGTCCCTGTACTCTTCAGCTCAAGGTGAGAGCTCTATAGCTTGAGCCACAGCACCACTTCCAGTTTTCTAGTGGTTTATTGGAAATAAGAGTCTCACGGACTTTCTTGCCCAGGCTGGCTTTGAACTGTAATCCTCAGATCTCAGCCTCCTGAGTAGCTAGTATAACATGCATGAGCCACCAGCACCCAGCTCCATGAGACTAAAAAACTAAAAAAGAATAGTATAATTAGAAATTCACTTTACCTTGAAATGGATGTGACCCTGCTTTTGTTTTTCCTTTTAAACTGGATATATGTACTGTGTGTTTGGCTGGCTCTGATATGACAGTCTTATAAGTCTGAAAGAAAGAAAAACATGTGTTTAGTTTTACTTCTTGAGCTCTAAAAATCATTGTGTCAAATTCAAAATCATTTATAGTTCTTCTCCATGTGATCATCATTAGAAGTTACAACTACAGTCCCAGCCTGGCAAAGAAATCTCTGCATGCCATTTGCTCATTTACTCTCCCTTTACAAACCTTTTGCCATTAAGTACAATGTTCTAAAAGAGAACCATGCTCTAAAACTGGTAATCAGAGTTAACTGAAAATACAGTGAAGAAAAAGGAAGGCAAGCTGGTGCTGGTGGCTCACACCTATAATCCCAGCTACTGGGGAGGCTGAGATCTGAGGATCATGGTTCAAACCTAGCAAACTAACCAGCAAAAAGCCAGGATGGAGTGTGGCACAAGTGGTAGAGCAACCAGGCTGAATGATGAAAAATAAAAATCAAGTGATTATGAAGCTGTGAATTCAACCCCTCCTCACATACAAGTTTTTAAAAAAGATTCCCAAGTGACATAGTTAGAGCCTAACAAAGATACCTTCACTAAGATAAGCTGGGGTACATCATAAAAACAACACTATTACCTGGATGCAGATTATCCGAGGAAAAAGTATGGTGCAGAAACTACCTTAAATAGACCAATGTATAGGTTACTTTGCATTTCACACTCAATCAGTCTCCCTGGCCTGCATTCACATCTGAAAATGAAAAGTTAAAGCTGGAACATGTGGGAAGCCAGAGTTTAATTCCTAATACCAAAAATGAATAAACAAAAATGAAAATCTTAGCCAGGCACTGGTGGCTCAGGTCTGTAATCTTAGCTACTCAGGAAGCTGAGGTCTGAGGATCCTGGTTCAAAGCCAGCTGGGGCAGGAAAGTCCATGAGACTCTTATCTCCAAGTAACCTCCAGAAAACCAGAAGTGGCATTGTGGCTCAAATGGTAGAGTGTTTGCTTTGAGCTGAAGAGCTCAGGGACAGCTCCCAGGTCCAGAGTTCAAGTTCCATGACCAAATAAACAACAAAAAAAATCTCACTCCAGATATTGCTGTGTGTATTGTCTTAGCTCTCTTTTTGCCGGAAGGTTTGGGCTTGGTTACTGTAAAGGTGATGTATAGTTACATAAATCAGGTACTGAGCACATTTCTTTTTGGACAATGTCACTCTCTCCCTGTTTTTCCCTCCTGCTCCCACCCACAAGTTGTATCGTTCATTTTCAACCAGTGTTTAGTGAGCACCACTGCTGCATTTTCTCCATTTCTATGCACCCTCCACCCCACCAAAGACAGAAAACAGAACAAGAGAAAAAGGAAAAACAGAAACAGCAACAAAGAAAAAAAACCTTGTTTCCATTTCCTGTTCATTTCAATAAATATTATTTTATAGGATCAGATGCACAGTGGCATTGTACCTTTCTGTTTGTCTCTTTAAACCTGTAGGCATGGCTCTCCTGTCGGCCGGTCCCTCTGTGCTGGTCTTAGGGAAGACCTGGCACCCCAGGCCCCTCAACTTCCATATAAACAGTGCAGGGTGGAGCTAAAATTTTGCACTCTGAAACTTTCATCTCTGAGTGTCTTATAAATACTCTAATAAAGAATATGAGGGCTGGGAATGTGGCTCAGTGGTAGAGTGCTTGCCTTGCATGCATAAGGCCCTAGATTCAATTCCTCAATGTACCCACATAAACAGAAAATGTTGGAAGTGGTGCTGTGGCTCAAGTGGCAGAGCGTGAGCCTTGAGCTGAGGGACAGCGCCCAGGCCCAGAGTACAAGACCACAACAAAAAGAAAAAAGAAAAAAATAAACGATGTGAACCTTGAATCTTCCATGTAAGACTTTAAGCTGGGTGCCAGTGGCTCATGCCTGTAATCCTAGCTACTTAGGAGGCTGAGATCTGAGGATCACGGTTCAAAGCCAGCCCAGACAGGAAAAGTTCATGAGACTCTTATCTCTGACCACCAGAAAACTGGAAGTAGAGCTGTGGCCCAAAGTGGTAGAGGGCTAGCCTTGAGCAGAACAGCTCAGGGACAGTGCCCAGGCCCTGAGTTCAAGCCCCACAACTGACAAAACAACAAAAATCTTCATAATCATCTAGACACTAAATTCTCATGAAAACATGACAAGATATTCTCTGAGTACCTTAATCCAATGTCCTGATCTTAACACTGTTTTGAGTTTTGCCAAACTTTGGATTGTCAATCTTTGGATTCCTGAACACTACTTACATAATATCCACCGGCACTGACTGTGACACCAACAACCAGATAATAAAGCATATTGGATCTCGATGTTCCAGGGATTTTGTTGGATGACATCTGGCGAAGGGATGCTATGGAAGGCAAGTTTGAACAGAGTCACCATCATTTCAGCAGTCATTTCCAGTACAACTTCAAAAAAAATCACAGCACAGAAGCCGGGCGCCAGTGGCTCAAACTTGTAATCCTAGCTACTCAGGAGGCTGAAATCTCAGGATCACAGTTCAAAGCCGGCCAGGGAAGGAAAGTCCATGAGACTCTTATCTCCAATAAACCATAGAAAACCAAAAGTGGTGGGCTGGAAAAGTGGCTCAGTGGTAGAGTGCTTGCCTTGCATGCTTGAGGCCCTGAGTTCGATTCCTTAGCACCACATAAGCAAATGTGGCTCAAGTGGTAGAGCGCTAGCCTTGAGCTGAAGAGCTGAGGGACAGTGCCCAGGCCCAGAGTTCAGGCCCACCACCGGACCGAAAAACAAAAAAAAAAAAAGCTGAAATATATTGGGGCTGGGAAGGTGGCTCAGTGGTAGAACGCTTGCCTTGCATGCCTGAGGCCCTGGGTTCGATTCCTCAGCACCACATAAGCAAAATGAAAAAAGCCGGAAGTGGCGCTATGGCTCAAGTGGTAGAGTGCTAGCCTTGAGCTGAAGAGCTGAGGGACAGCGCCCAGGCCCAGAGTTCAGACCCCACGACCGGACCCCCCCCAAAAAAAAAAGAAAACCAAAAGTGGCGCTATGGCTCAAGTGTTAGAGCGCTAGCCTTGAGCTGAAGAGCTGAGGGACAGAGCTCAAGCCCAGAGTTCAAACCCCATGACGGACCAAAAAAAAAAAAATTACAGCACATGAATCTAAACAAATGACTTAGAGTAAGAAAGGAAACAAAACAGATCTACTTAAATGTTTATTCTGCAGTGCTAGAATTTGTACATACTATAATGCCCTGGAATTAAAATTTTACAATAGACTCAAAGCTAGGAGCTTGAGTGTCATAGATCTTACCATTTTTAATTTAAAGAAAAAGCAGAGACATTTACGCATTCAGTCAAATACAGGTGAGCACCCACATGTTTGTAATTGTTATAAACATAAAGATACCACTGTGGACCAGACAAACACGGCCCCTAATCCCTTAGTAGCTCAAGTCTAGAAAAAGTGTGTGTGTGTGTGTGTGTGTCTTGGTGGTAGAGTGCTTGCCTCGCATGCATGAGGGCCCTGGATTCGATTCCTCAGCACCACATAAACAGAAAAAGCCAGAGTGTGCTGTGGTTCCAGTGGTAGGGTGCTAGTCTTGAGTGGAAGAGCTGAGGGACAGCACCCAAACCCAGAGTTCAGGCCCCATGACCAACAAAAAAAGACTTATAGACAAATAATTGTGATACAGTTTGAAAAGAGTTGTAAGTTGTTCAGTAGATTAAAATTGCTGGGAAAAAAATCAGCTAGCTGGCTCAAGATAACTGTTCAAAGAGACTTGCCTCTTCATTTTAAAAATAAGCAGGAGTCTATCAGATAAACCGAAGAAAAATGGCACAGGGCTGAAGGCTGTGCGTGCTTGCTCGCATGGAGGTGGTATGTCTGGAGAAGGTCAGAGTCACCCCAAAGGGGCCCAACATTGTGCACGACAGATGACAACTTGCACAAGGCAGATCTTAAGACATCTGCACAGTTTCAAGCCTTCATAGTAGCAAAATCACAGTTTGGATGTAAATGGCAGTCTCTTGGAAACCCCCTCCCAGCGCACCCCTCACTGGCACACAGAAAAGGGGGCCCAGGAGCCTATGATGAAAAGGTTATGGCTTTGACTTGTGCTTGAAAATACGTGCACACGGAGTGCTAATGGCCTATGTCAGCTATTCAAGAGACTGAAATCTGGAGGATCTGGGTTCAAAGCTAGCCCAGGCAGAACTGTCCAAGAAACTCCATCTACAAGTTAACCATCACTAAGCTGGACAGGTAACATGGTACAGTATCAGGCATGAGTAACAAGAAAGCTGAGTTAGAGCATTTGGCCTTGAATTCAAGCCCCAGTACTGGTGTGCGCGCGCACACGCACACACACACACACACGCGCACACACACACACACACACAAGCGCGTGCGCACACACACACACACACACACACACCTCTGAAACAATTTATCGAAGTAGAAAGTACCAATAAAACATTCATTAATGCTTTCAAATGAAGACAAATTTAAGTGTTATCAATGCTATGTCTTTAAGATACATAAATCAGTGCTACAAAAACATTAGACAAAATAAAAGGAGAATCAATATGGTTAGCATCAGTACTGGTAATGATGCATTCAGAAATGTTGTAGCTGCTTGCATTTTGCCTCAAGCTGGAGAAGGAATTCTCTCAACCTGCTCACCTAAGCAAACAAGGTGCATATGAGGGTATGTGAAGGCTCAGAGTAAAGGAGTTCATCTTTCTCCTCTCCTTCCCATCAAAACAGCCCAGATATTACCATAACAAAATAGTCAGGCACCAGCACCCGTGGCTCCCGCCTGTAATCCTAGCTTTAGTCAGGAGGCTGAGATCTGAGGATCACCAGGGCAGGAAAAGTCCATGAGATTCTTGTCTCCGATTAGCCACCAAAAAGCTCCAAGTGGAGCTGGGCTCAGGAGGTTAGAGCACTCCCTGGCCTTGGGCAGAAAACCTCAGACAAGGGCCCAGGCCCTAAATTCAAGTTCCAGGGCAGGCACAAAACAAAACAAAAGATGTAATTAATTAATGTTTTCCCTCTATTCATAGGGACTTTGGGGAGGACACCAGCTCTCTTGCTGGGCTTTGAGACTCAGGGAAGCGTTTCCGGAGGAACCCTAACCTCACAGCCCACCAGCACTTCCAAGAAAAATAAGAGGCGGACAGATTTCCCTCTCCACCCCCCTCTCCCTCCCTCACCCGAGCCTCACCAAAACCACAAAGCAGAGCCCCTGGCAGGGGGGGTGTCCTGGCAGGGGGGGTGTCCTGGCAGGGGGGGTGTCCTGGCAGGGGGGGGGAGATGTCCTGCAGGCCCTCTTCTGGCTCCTGGGAGGCTGAGCTTCCGGGGACTGCCGTTAGAGGCCAGCCTGGGTAGAAGCCCTGGCAGACCCCCACTCCAACCATCAGCCAGCCAGGCCCCGCCAGTCTGGCCCAGGTGTGCGGCGCCGGAATCGCACACAACCTGCCAGGGGAGCCCCCAGGTCCGTCCTCCAGCCAGCGACGGGAAGCGGGCGGGGCGCTCGCCGGTCCC